CAACAACAACAACAACAACAACAACAACAACAACAACAACAACAACAACAACAACAACAACAACAACAACAACAACAACAACAACAACAACAACAACAACAACAACAACAACAACAACAACAACAACAACAACAACAACAACAACAACAACAACAACAACAACAACAACAACAACAACAACAACAACAACAACAACAACAACAACAACAACAACAACAACAACACAACAACAACACAACAACAACACCACCAACAACACCACAACAACACACACAACACCACACACACCACACCACCAACAACAACAACATTTTTGCATTGCACTCACTGCCAGAATCAGCATGTGGACCTCTGATCACTTTGGATCCTCGGCACGTCGGCTACTCTGTATCCGCCTTGGGAGCTCCAGCAGTCTTTGCTAGTTCGTACTTCACGCCCCTCAGGGCTGCTGAAAGGATTGTTGTGCACAGCTATGTTCGAGTATGTGGAATGCATCCGCCCCTCGGGGCTGCGATAGCGCTGTGCTGGCTGGGCACCCTACGACCGCTTCCTACTGGCTCACCTGCACCCGCGACTGCTGCAGTGCCGGCTGGCCCCGATGTTGTGTTGCAGGCTATAGCTGTGCGCTAGCTGAGTTTGGTGTGATTAAGGCGGGCAAGTGTGATATAGAAGGTCTCACCCGCCTTTTTTATTTCACAGTCCGGCCTTTTGGACTTCGAGAGGATCGCTTCCTCCAGATTGCCAGGTCTCACTACCTGCTATACTGAATCTGCTTTGGCAGAGTACTTAAGGATATTCAGGAGGAAACCTCCTAATCTGATGCAATGAATCAATGAAGAAATTGAAGTTGGCACGGAGGCAGCCTCCGATATCAAGTACTCAGCACTGCAAAAGAGTGAAAAATAAGCGCGGCTACCCCGACACCCTACTGTGAGTCACTGCGTCCAGCACCCACGCACCAGCTGTTTAGCGAGCCGTACCTCTGGTGAGGCCGACACTCAGCGTTCCTGTCTAGTGACGTCTCACACAGGTAACGCTAAACAACTGGCAGAGGGCCGTAGGCAGAGCGCACCAAGGCGGCCTTGCACGTTCCAAGTAGGATGCCCAAATTGGATGCAGGGAAGCTGAGTTTGCGAAGCCTGACCTGGGACGCCTTGCGCGGCTCCTGGGGCCAGCGCTGCGACAGGGCAAAATTTCATACCTGGTCGAGAAAATGTGACCCCAACTAACCGAACTTAACCCACCATGCTGGAGGAGGTCTCACATAGATACGAGTACTTTGCGAAGAGGGAAGCACCTGACCTGGGACACCTTGCACGGCTCTCGGGGCCAGCGCTGCGACAAGGCAGGTTGCATCCGAAAAAGTGACTCTAAGTTGAACCCACCGTCCTTGAGGAGGCCTCACATGTTCGGGGGGGAATTTTGCTGGGGTCAAAGGAAGTGCGCACAGGGCTCTTACAGATGCTTCAGGTTCAGGGACAAAAATGGGTAAGCTTGGCCTTACGCTACAGCAGGCAGATCGGTCTACTGTAAGAAACACTACCGGGGAGGAAGCCTCCGGAGGAAACCTCCGCATGTGAAGGTTCATGCAAGAGACTGTACTTTTTAGCACGAGATCATGGCTTTATTGCGCGCAGGGCAGCATTCATGCCGAGTTGCCTTAAGCAACAGCAGGCAGATAGGTCTTCTTTAAGAAAGAACACTGCTGCGGAGGATGCCTCCGGAGGAAACCTCCGCATGCGTGCTTGGACTTGGCGGGTGCTGACAATTGGGCAAAGGCCTGCCTCATGGCTGCCTGGCTGAATCTAATCTCTTACATAGAAGGCCAAGTACGATCCTCGGCATATTTGATCCGAGAGGAGCATGGTGCATCTTGGCGGATCACTATCATCAGCTAGGTACGCAACTCCATCTCTCCAAAACCCCGCTCGGTAATGTCCAGAGCTCCAGTCTTCGCCGATATGGATAATGAATGCATAGAGACGAAAAGACACTGCTTCCGTTGATGTTCCATTATCTAGAAACATTGGCATCTCAAGGACTGTGTCCAGCGCTTGTGGGCGGGAAGTTTTGATTTGCTGATCAAATCTTTGAATTTGTAAGCAAATGAGTCTTGTTTCTGGAAGCAAGGCAAACACACTACCCCTGTTCGTCCATTGTGTTACTGATTGCTGAAGAGTCGAGAGTCCATCCGGCGGCTCGGGTAGATACAGAATCAAGCCACCTTTTTCCTCAACACTTATGCGTTCCTCCGGTGCTGAGATATGAACTCGCGCCTCCCATTTATCTGATGAAAGATCTGGAATACGCTGAGAGATGTGCAACAGAAATTGAGATGCATCCTCCTGCCTGGGTCGTAATCGCCATCCTGCTAGCAGCGGACGAAGATGTCGCAACCTCCGAACATCCGCATGAGAGGATCTGCCATTCAGGGAACCTATTTCCGTTAGGATGGAATTTAAAGAAGGATCTGGGAACAGTCCGTCTGACAAGAGAGAGATAAGGATATGAACGACCGTGTGTGCATAGCACAGTTGATGCGGATTATGATAAGCTAGACGCCAGGCAGCGTCTTGCATGGAAGCTGTGGGAGGTGCAGTGGTTGAACGACCCGAGACGCGTGCAGTGTATGTCAGCAAAGAAGCTCGGCTGCTGGAGGAAGCCTCCTGGGAGGAAGCCTCCCTGCCTCTCACCTGGCTAATTGGAGGATCTGCACTGAAGAGATCTGGCAGTTCCATAGGCTTGGCACAAGCTGCACTCATGGCGTATGTCTGAAGCAGAACCACACATTGCTCTGCATGGCGTACTGGAGCATCTACCACAATGCGACAATACCTACATTCTTCTTTTTTGTGCAGGAGGCGCTTATGTGTTCGCATGTTGGCAAGAATGGATGCCGAGGATTGTGCCCAGAAAGCGGGATGAGCTTTCTGAATGTGCTGTTTCACTCCTTTGTGGCCAACAATGTATTGCCCACAGAGACTGCAGTTCGTTAATAGATGCTGAGTGACATGTCTCTTTTTTAGTAGAAGATCAGGATCCTTCTTAAGTTGTTCCTGCACGCTAGACTGATAGATCATAGCTATGCTTTCTGAGCTTGTACAGGATTTGGCTCGTTCTTTCAGCTCGTGCAGCTGAGGGCAAATGCCTGACTCCACATGTCTGCGAAGTTGATGCATTGTGCGCAACTGCCTGTTGCATGCCGCACATTGCGGAAGTCCTTTGCAGCTATGCACAGTGACCTGAAATTTTGGGCCTAGCTGATTCGCACGCTGTCCTCCATGCTTCACCAGAGTATGTTGCTGAAGACCCTTAGCGCTGGAAAATTTCCGATCGCACAGAGAGCACGGTACCTCCTGGTCTGCCTCGGTCAGGTCCAAATGCATGCTCTGAAGCTCCTGTTGCAGCGCAACAATCCTACCTCTAAGTCCCAGATACCACTGTATGTTCTGATCCGGGTTGTACTTCTGACAGGCATCTAGTGCGTCTTGATAGTTTTTCATCTGGCTGATCAAAACTGCTTGAGGAGTCTGAACCTTATATTGCTCGAACAGAGTCTTCGTGTCAATATGGCTGTAGTGCTGATGTTGCTTAAAGATGGATCTTAGCATCCTCGAGTATTTACTCTGAAGCTTCTGAAGACCTGATGAGGTGATGCCAGTGGCCACAAGCCCATGCAAGAGTGAGGATTCCACATAGACCCTCCAGATCTCCAACTTCTTTGAAGCCTCCAAGGCCTTAGTGGAGCACAGGATGTGTCGAAGTAGCTCAAACTTGCCTTGAGCTTGGGCGATCCTATAGTCAACAGTCTGGTCTTTGTAGGATCCATAGCTGAGCTGCACCCCTAGATATGTTAGTTTGTGATGAATCGGAATCTTATGTCCTGAGGGAAGGACGATGTGCAACTGCTTCTCTTTGCGCATCGTGTGCTTCTTGCGAAAGATGGACTGCTGAGTGCCCTGAACCATTAGCAAGGCTTTGGACTTCGTTGGATTGACTTCCAGCCCCACGTCCTCAAGAGACTGAAAGAGAGCCTCTATTCTGAGCAGGACTTTCTGAAGTTCAGGAAAGCTCGAGAAGGTTTCCTGGAGCAGGAAATCGTCTGCAAAGACCGTTAGGATGTCCCTAGCTTGCTTGCTATCTGGGCCCCATTTCTGCTCCATTCTGCTCATGACTAGAAGTGTCAGCGCAGACCACAATGCCGGGGCTAGCTTGCAACCTTGTTTGATTCCTGAAGAAGTGGGAACTTGAATCTCTAGTCCACTTGTGCCCATGTTGTAGGAGGTCTCACTGTGTAGTTGAACTACCAGTTCTTTCGTAACAGGGTCTGTTCCCAGGCGATCCAAGGCAGCTAGCAGCTCATGTCTATTAACAGAATCAAAAGCTTTGCTCAGATCAACCGAAATAGTAAGTGCCCCTGACAGCTGAGCCTGCCTGGCTCCGCGTTGGGACTTGTGCAGGTCCCTGCGATGCTCTTGACGGAGCTGCTGCGCGAAATCAAGGTGCTGACATGCTTTCGCGATAGCGTCCCGCACCCCCCTCTGCCGATGTACGCAAATTGAGGCTGAAGCTGTGAGCTCACCTGCAGTGCTGGTGCAATGCGAGTCTTCACTGCGCCTGCTAGCACTTTGCCTGGCACGCTGATGACTCCTATGGGCCTCAGGTTTTGCATGGCGGTGGCTGGCTTGCCCGGCTTGGGGATCCATGCAATTCGAGGGTCCTTTAGATAAGGGGAAATTTCTGATTGGGACACCTCAGAGTTGATTAGACCTGCTATGTGTTCGTGGGCTTCAGGACCTAGACTCTTCCAAGCTGATACTGGGGCTGAGGTGCTGGGGACTGCTTTCCCCACTGGCACTGTCTTGATTTGTGAGGATACCTGCAAGGCGGTGATCGCTGCTCTGGGCACAGCAGCTACTGAGTGCAAAGGAGGACTTTTGGAGAAGATTTGACTCGAGTATTCGCGCATAGTTTTTAGTGAGGCCTCCGTATCAAGCGGCTCACCTGCTTGATCCCTTAGGTTGACTCTCTGCACTGGGCGCCACGGAGCAAGTTTCCTGAGAGTATGAGCCAGTTTGTGGGATTGTTGCCTTTTATCTTCCTGGGCTTGTAGAAGCAACTGCTCTTGCTTCTCTAGCTTTCTTTGTTTTTGCTGTTTTTTGAAAGTCCGCGCCTCCTCCTTGATGTCCTCCACAAGCTTCTGGCATTCTGAATTATGCTCGGTTCCAGCCCTCTTGTGCGCCTGGATTTGCCGCACTTTCTTCCAATATTCCTGATGAATTGGACCTGCTACTGGCTGAGACTTGCGTGGAGGAGGATAGTGCTCAGCTGATACACTAACCATCACTTCATCCAGTTCTTGCCAAGACGGTCTCACTTGCATTGTCCTCACCACTGCTTCCGTCAGACGATGTGAGTATGCCTGCCAGTTGTCATCTTTCCGCCGAAAGCTCGCATCCAGGGCTGTGGCATCAAACGGCCGTGGCTTGCTGGGTGTAGGACTGTAAGGAGGAATGAACAGAGTGGCTCGCACTGGAAAGTGTTTTGATCCATCTCTGTAGGCAGCCACAGGAAAGTTCTTATCCGAGTAGGCCTCCTTGGATCTCCTCCGAGCATCGTGCAGTCTGACCAGCAAAAAATCGATCTGAGAGGAATATGTGCCATCACTGTTAGCATACGTACTGCGATGGCCAGAAGCCCATGTGTTCAGCGCAGTTAGTCCACAGGATTTGCAGAGCGAGGGCAGTGTCTTCACATCCGCATTTGCAAACCGTACTCGATGAGGCACACTTGGTCCGATATGAGGACGTTCAGTCACCGCATGCGCATTGAAATCCCCAGCCACAATCAAGAAGTCACGTTGTGGGACTCTCTGTATTCGATTTTCGAGCTGTGTCATCACGTCCTTTCTCCTGCCTCTGTTTTCCGTCTTCGAGAGCTTTGAATCCCAGACGTGCTGGTACAGGTTCAGGAGATGTATTCTGGATCTCTGCCACGGGATCATGACGTGCTGCAAATGCCCTGGAACAATGGAAGTGCTGCGAATTTCTGAAAGAGGAGCCAGTGAGCTATGCACCAAGACAACCAGGCCAGCCTTGTGTCTGCTTGTTGAGCCACAGGTTAGGACTGACCACGGGCCTGAGCTGTAGACCTGGTCCTGCTGCCAATGCGATTCCTGCAGGAAAACGATTTTGATGTTCTTGTACTCTGTTGTTGCCAAAAGGGCCAGAATCTCGTTCCAAACTCGACTTGTAATTGAGCCTGCGTTCCAAGTAAGGACTTCCATGTCAAATTTGTGATGGATCTGTCTGTTCGGTTGAAAAGAACGCCTCTCCGCTTTCGCAGGAGACGCGAATTGTCCTTCATGAGCTCCTAGAGCCTGAGCTGTCAGAAGACGGCCTTTGTAAAGTGCTGCTCCCTTCGCCAGGGCAACTTTACAAGCTCTTTGGTAGCTTCGCTTGCCGGTTTTGTTCATGGTTAGCTGACTTCGCTGCGCATGCTGCTCAGCTTCATCGGGGGGCGCTACTTCCCGAAACCCTCGATTCTGATCCATGGCTGGACCCTGGGACTTGGGACCCAGGCACCCAAGAAAGCTCGCTACGGCTACGAGAAATAAAATCCTCATCTTGGGCCAGAATCTTACAACAACAACAACAACAACAACAACAACAACAACAACAACAACAACAACAACAACAACAACATGCATCGACGGCGACCGCGGCAACGACAACGGCAACAAAAACAAAAAAGCAACAACGCAAATAGAGCCAGCAACAGTCACAGTGATCATGCTCGCAGCCTTTTCTCTTGCCAGCATAACAACCATGTTTGGAAGCCGAGTTGAGGGCTTATGGCTGGAGTTGGACGGTGCTATCTGTTTGTAACGGGCACCCATCTGTTACCACACATATTTTTTAAGCCAGTGCTGAGAAAGACTGGCTTTTCTCTTCTGAGACTCAGCTACATGCTGCTCGGGGACTCGAAGAGCCGAAGCCCTTCGTGTGCAACTTCGTGCAGTAGAAGTTTCTGCTGCACCCTGAAGCTGGGCAGCCTAATGGCCGCCAACGCTCGAATGAAACATCAGACATTCAGCTGTAGCTCAGACTAGCATCAGAAGATCGACATACTGTTGCTTAAATCTGAGGCCGCCCATCGCTTCAAATCTAAGCGTTGAATGTTCAAAACTTCGGAAGGTTTCGTCTTGCGTTGAGGCACATGCTTCGAACAGCTACAGGTTCCTAGCTCACAACGTTTAGGGGTTCAAATGGAATTCCAGGCTTCCAAGGCCTCACAACCCCCACAGTGTGCCTCACAGAAACAGGGGAGCAGCACGGGAAAAGTCTCAGAGGAGTCCGCACGGACTGCGTATATATGCGTGTCTCATATCATAGCCCTCCTGGGCCTCCAACCCGGCTGATGACTCCAAGCCAGTCACCAAGCCTTACATTCCTAGACTTGGAACCTTGAAGGCCCTGAACCCAACATGATGCGCGATGTAAACAGATGTAAGCATATGCACACCCTTAAGCTCCTAAACTTTGCCAACCTTGCCCCGGCGGCTTTTGCTGCAACTTTGCATCCAAGACACTCAGATGCTTTGCATTCTTTGTCGGTGTCAGGGCCAAGTATGAAGCCCGTGTCGTGTCGTGTCATGATCTCATGTTGTATTAACGTTCCAGCTGAAGGCTCAGGACCCTGAAGACATTCTCGTGATTCTAAGTCCTGCCATCTAGGCCCCAAAAGCCTTGATCCTCTTAACGCCGGGAGTTGCAGCAGCCAGTTGGATTGCATAGATGACTGCTTCCTGCAAGCATTCCTTCTTACACAGTCCTGAGAATGGAAGACGTCAGCTTCTCCACAACTGCAGATGCCTGCAGTGCCCTGAACGGAACATGAATGTATAAACAGCACAATCGCTTCTAAGAGGCACTTGTACGTGTTGAGTTGCAATGTCAGACAGGGGGGAGCTGCAGAGCCGACAGCTGCTCAGCGAAGAACGCATGCACTCGCAGACGTCACACCTCTTCCAGCATACACATGCTACTCTCCCGTTGTAAGGAAGGGTTGGCTTGTTGAGGTTGAAATCTGACGGCTTCTGGCAGACACGAAGCCGACGTCGATGCTCGGACTGGGCGAATCCCTTAACAAACCGAACCAAGATGACACCTGACAAGATTCCAGATAACACCTTGAAAACAGAGGTGCCTTTTTGGTCGGACCCTAGCTCATGGCAAGATCCATTGCAATGCTTTGGAGCATGTCACGATGATGCAGTCGGAACTCGGGGTTTGGGCACTCGCAATTCTAGAGTTGGTTATGTTGACCGTTGGTGGCTTCACCAACTCAGTTGGTTCTAGTGCCTCCATTTGCCCACATGTTCCGGCGGCCGCGCAATTTCCTAGAGGCTTCTCTCTTTGGCGGCTGAAGGCCCCCAAGGACCTGCAGTCTGGCTCTTGCCATTTTGTCCACAACTGCGGCTGCTTTCAGCCTTTCAGCCTCGCCTGGCTCGACTTGACATTGATGCCCATGCCGAAATGTCGAAGTGTACCTCCTGCTCGGAACTCCTGCTTGAAACCCCTTTGCTCGGAAACGTGCAAAATTGCAAAATTGCGCCACGCATGCCACACTCCAAACCATATGGCAGGGCATCAAACGATCTCCCGAGCAAGCCGCAGTCTTTCTGCTGGGGAGATTGACCCCTTGTGGCAGAAGGAGCCAAAGGTCCGGAGATGTCCGGAGAGATGTTCTGCAACGAACCACGGCCGATTTGGCGCATGTTATGGGTCTGTAACAGTGGACTGTGTCACACCGCACAACAAATCTAAGTAGAGGAACTAGGGGGTATTGATTCCATCCTGAAATCTTAACCTTATCATGCGGCTGACTGAGCGCAGCGGTGCAGATTTAGGTTTTTGAACAGTTTGGCGGCGTTGGCATTCTCGGAACCTTATATATATATATATATATAGAGACTCTGTATCTTTGGGATTTCGGATGGTGGTGAGGCTATATAGTTTAGGTCGGCAGTCGTGCCTTTTCTGCTTGCAGGCACGCATTTGAGCCCTAAACTGTGCCAGTGGCGTGCTTTTAAGAAGTCGCCCCAAGAAAGAAGGGATGTGGTTGAGTTGTTGACTGCGTCGCCCCAAGAAAGAAGAGATGTGATTGAAGTTGTTGACGGCGTCTATGTGTAGGGCTTACCTGGTTAAGAGATGCTTCATGCTTCCATACGAATCCTGCAGCCTGTAAGGAGTCGATGTTGTCATGGGGTTTCCGTGCCTCGTGCCTAGACATAGGACGCAAGTTTTCCTAGGCTTAAGTCTGCTGGATGTAGGCAAGTCAGTGTTTTTTGGTTGGGGGGGATGAGGTATGTGACAAGTATTTTTCTTGAATTCCCGCTGGAATAATGAAGCAGGCCTTATACCCTTAACCCTCATCGTCCTTGGTTTGCCGGAATCTTTTCTGAGTCACCGCGGCCTTGAATAGCTTCTTGCATATTTGGCGACCACGTAGGGGACAGCGTCTGGTCATAACGATGAAGAGGACTTGCTTCTCCCACGGTTCAGATTCCGGCGGTTCTTCAGCGTGAACATGCCCACAAGCTAGTTGATTTTCGTGCAAAACCATTCCCGTGTTGATGTGAATGCTAAAGACGCTTGAAGAGAAAGCTTTTGAAGCCGTGCTTTTGGGGAGACAGCCGGCAAACCAGTACATCGGCTCTGCGTCAAAGGCCATTCGGGTGCATGCTCTCGGATCTGCATCAAGAGGAGGAGTTTCTGTGCGATCCCAAGGGTCCCAAGGAGTTGAGCCAGGTCCAGGTTTTCGTCGTTTTAGCCGTTTTTTTTTGCAATTTGGGGCCTACAAGCAGGGCGCGGCGGGGCACGGCCAATTGGTTTCAGAGAGTATTTGGCAGGAAAGGTTGCGATTTGGTCGATGTGTGAGGTTGGGCACTATCCTCGACCTTTGTCTAGCCATGACCGGCGTAAGCATGAGTGATTCAGCGCCTGCTGATCCTTCAAGAGCCTGATGGGCCTAGCGCGACACTGGATGATGTGATTGTCGATGGTTATAAGTTATAAGCTAGCGTTGAAAGATGACATTAAGTATCATTAAGTTTTTGCTTTTTGCAGACCTGTGCGTTCTGTCTCAGTGTCAGGTTGCGCCTGTGGTACGACCAGGTGCCTGCAGAGCAGCCTGTCCTCCACGTGCTATGGTCCTTTGTCCGAGGTTATGATCTTAATCAGTTGTATGATCCGTAGCCACTTGTAATATCTTTTTAGCCAGGTCAAAAATCTACTTGACCAAATAGCGACTAGACAAGACGCGAGTCATTCAGGGCTTGTGCGGAGCTCACCTAAATACTGATGACCTCACCTCGTAGCACTGGGTTGGACAGATCAGGCTGAGAATGCCCAAGAAAAGTGCTTACCAGGAACCCTGGGGATTGTCTTTGGGCAAGGGAATAAAACCTCAAAAGCAAAGCGGGCACCTCGAAGGTCACGCGAGCTCGTGCAGCAAATCAGCAGCTACGCTGCCGAGGCTTCCTTGGCACTGGCTGGAGATGCTGAATCGGCAAGTTAATGTTTCGAGGGTCACAAGAGCCACCATACGCAAGGAGCGAAGATGTAAATCGAGACCATCGAAACCCACTGGCTGCTTAACTGCTTAACCTCTCGTAGCCTTGTTAAGCCCTGATGGTTTGCAGCCCCTCTGTCGGCCAGGCTCTCCGCGCCGCAGCGCATGCTGGCAGAAGCAGCAGCGATGCCACCCTCTGAGGTTCTAATTAAAGTGGTCAGTTCCGGATTCGAAGTTCTCTACCAGCTCACGTGTCTGAAGCCGTGTCTAAGTTTAAAGTTTGAGCCAGTGCAGAAACTCCACAACTTGAACTTGAAGGAACAAGTGAACTAGCTCAGTGGAGCTTTTCAGAAAAGACTCCGGAGTTAGGGCTTCAGCAAATTGATGCCTTGCCTGGGGCCCTGCCAGTCGAGGTGGGCTCGGTGGGTTGTTCTCGCAATCCGAATGTAAAATGGGCTGGGCAATAGGGGCTGCAATCGAGCCCCCTTGTGAACAAACCCGTCTCCAACCTCGATGAATTTTCGCCCTCATGCAATCGCGTTTTTGCACTTTCCTGGATGAAGCGGGAGGTCCTGAAAAGAATCCAAGGACAGTTGTTCGGGATATTCATTATAATATGGCAAAACTGGCACGCTCCCCATAGCCGTCTTTGTGTCAAGACCAGGCCTAACCCAAGAGAGTCAGAGAGACAAGAAGCGATTGAGCCGATGATGCAGGACTCCTAGATGGGAGTCCTGCACGATCGACTCCATCGGACCTGATGTTTGATGCGTTCAGAGTATGTCAGAGTCAGAATCAGAGAGACAAGCAGCGATTCAGCCGATGACTTATGAGCTCCTCAGTTAGGAGTCCTGGTTCATCCGGTCGACCGGACTTGATGCTTGTCTGATGGCCGAACTGGGCGACCCCTTCAAACCAAAATTCATATGGCTTCAGTGGTCCGGGGTGACACTGTTTGACGTGCCTGCCTGAAGCCAT